AGGTGGCGGACATATATATATCTATATATATATACATACATATGTGCATGTGTGTGCACGTGCAGAGACTAACCGGTGGTCCCCAGGAACAGCAGCACCAGGATCCAATAGATCCAGAAGAGGAGGAGTGCGAGGAAGGTAACGAAGGGCTGCAGGGTGAGGAGGGGGAGGTGGATGAAGACTTTGCCGGCGACGTGGAACAGGGCGATGGTGAGCGCCACTCGTTTCCTCATGAAGAGCATCAGCAGCAGCAGGATGATCTGCACACAGACACACGGTCAGCGCCGCTCTCCGCTCCTCAGCAGCTGCATTTGTTTTGCCTCATACATACGGTGAAGACAGTGGCGGACACGGCGTACACGAGCAGCGCCTGGCCGCTGTCCCTGCTTGGCTCCTCCTTCGACTCCTCCCCCAGGTCTTCTTTCAGGTCCTTCAGCACTTTGGAGGACGTGTCATTGCCGTACAGCCGGTGGTCAATGTAGAGCCACCAGAGGACGCTCGTCCCCGCTGTGACACACACAAACACGTCAGATAAACTATGAAAAAAAATCACCTGAAAAATCACGCAGGAAGTGACCTCACCGAGAGATCCAAGAACGACCAGCGAGGTGAGGATCCAGACGAGAACGGCGGAGATGTAACGAATGATCACCATGAGAATCATGGACAAGACTGAAAGACAGAGGACAGCTCTGAAGGTTATGGTGTGGCTCAGGTCCCAGGAAGTGACATCACATCCTGTTTTCAGCTCTCACCCAGTGCAAGAACGCACAGTCCGATGATGATCTCTTTACTGGCTGCGACGCCGGCGATCAGTCGATGCAGGACGCTGCTGTCCCCCACAAATGTCACCACGGCCTCCGCAAACTTCGCATAGCAGGAGACGTCCACCGGAGTGCAGCGGTTAAAGACCGGCAGCGGCTTGCTGAGGGCAGATGCAGAGGTCAGAGGTCAGGAGAGAGGACAGGTGTTCCTGAACTATCTGAGGGGGTAAAGCTGGACATACCTGCGTGGGACAGGAAGTTTTGGACATTTGGAGAATCTCTCCGGGAGACCAGGGTATTTATGGCCTGCTAACTCGTATGAGCACAGCTCTGAGCCTGAAACAGGAAATGCATCATCACTACCATCATCTGGTTCTTGTATGAATCAGTGGCTGAGGTGTGACAGGTAAACTGTTCCTGGCAGACAGAGGCTCCTTTCTCACATGTGGCGAGTGTTGGGCTGTGAGGTCATGTGACCAGATGTGCGCGTCATGTTTGTGTGTGTTTCTAACAGACAGTGAAAGCTCTGAGTCACCGAGTGGCACCAACAAGATGACTCACATTAATGTGCCTTTGTTACTGTACTCAGTGAGCGCGCTCAGACCAGCATGCTGCTGAGGAGGCGATCCTTCACATTTCTGTTCCACACCTCTATCTTTGAGAACACAGGCGTGTCTGTGATCATGTGACGCGCTCACCGTTGACCATGGCGAATGTCTTCAGGTCCTGGTAGGTCTTCAGCTCCTCAGTGGGACACAATGAGACACACAGAGCCATGGACTTGATTTTCCTCTGAACGATGTCGATGTTGCAGGGATCCAGGAAGAAAACAAACCTGTAGAGACAATCAGAGTCCCGCGTACGGCACGTTATGACCTTGAAGCTGGGGTGATGAAAAGTGTACACATCACCTCATTTAGTGATGATGCATATGTGTATGAAGTTTCATTAAATGATCTTGAGCAGATCAGAAGTTATGAGCGGGACAAAAGAAAGTTTACGGACGGACGGAGAATATGTCATAATACTCCAGCTTTACGAGAGGCGTATAAAAACGGTACAGGTATCTGTCTGACTGTAGGACTTTAATCAGGTTTAGGTTCAGGTTCACGATGACTCTGTGTCTCTGAACACATCTGGACAAACTGTTTCACATCCAGGATAAAAACGAGCAATTATAACTGTTATAGGAGGTCATTTAATCCTAAATAACTGTTTTCTATTAGCTGCTGAATCAAACAATTAAGTGAGCATTTTGATCAGTCATGACTCAGCATTCTCAGGTGTCCTTCACATCCTGCTGATGTCATGTGATCAGCTGTTTATCGGCACATTCTGATGGCTTTAGGGTTCTGCAGCAGCTGCTCGGTCTGACCAGTTTAATTGGAAACAAGAGAGTCGGGAGTAAAAATAGCAGCAGAGATGGAGGATTCAAGCTGAGCACAAAATCAGAATCAGAACTGGGAGAAACGTGTGACTCAGCACAATAACAAACCAACACAAACATGTGACTCAGCACAACAACAAACCCACACAGTAAAATATTCACTCACACAGCCACTTCAGCACATTTTTTGGTCCTGTGACCTGGTAAAACAGGCATGAGACCAGCTGCTATCACTTCAGACTGCCTCAGACCACTTGAGACTGTGTTGGACCTTATTAAACCACCTCGGACTACCTAAAACTACTTCAAACTGCTTCTGATCACTCCAGGCCTCGTTGAGCTATTGTCTACTGCCTCTATGAATAACTAAAGGTTCCTAGCATTGACAACTTTGGCCTTAATGTGACGGCCTCAGACCACTTCAGACTTCAGACTGTGGTTTTCCTACTGTCATTACAGGGATTTCTTAGGAAAATCCCTGTAATGACACTTTAATTGGAGATTTTACACTTTACCTGGGCTGCTGATTTCTTACCTTAAGCTGCTGTATTCATACCCATTTGCTCACAACAGACTCATGTTCAGGCTGCTGTTTAATACACTGTATTATATTACATTATTATTGTTTAGCGTATATCTTAGCTCCTTGTATACAGCAGCTTCAAGCACTCCGTCCATCTTCCGGACGACTGCATGTACATGTTCTCGCTGTATCTCGGTGCAATGATAATAAAACTTATTCTGATTCTTTTTATACTTTATAGTGGTCCCTCGTTTATCGCAGGGAATCCGTACCCTGAAGAAGACCTGAGATACGTGAAAAAACACGAAGTAGGAATAGTAGTACAAGTAGGAAGTAGTAGTTTATTGTTATTATATATATATATATATATATATATATATATATATATATATATATA